CACATATTTCTCTAAAACTCAGTAGTCTCAGTAGATAAGCACAAATCCAGCACAAATCCAGATTATGTCAAAGTTTTAAAAACTAATCATAATTATTATTTTGGTCTCCTTGATCTGCATATAATCTTCAATACCTGAATATTACAAAAAATAAACCAACAAACTGTGCATTGATAGTGAATACTGTACAATTTTATAAGCTTACATGCAAGAATTACAAAACAGCAAACTGATGAAAGACCAAATATTTTTTTTGTGTTTCAACTTGAAACACAAAAATGTCAACAAGTTTTGTCTTCAAACCATTCCTTTTGCCAGTTTAGTTACTTATCCGCAATAATTCTTTTTTTTCAAATTTATGCAATTTATTGATTGTGATTGGTTAAATGTATGAGACTACATAAAGAAAATTACAGCAATATGCAGACATTGTGATCGTTTTCACTCATATTTCAAGTATATAAAATATATCGGAAATTATTGGATCTCATMACCAAAATTTATGTACTGCACTTTGAGTGCGAGTTAGTTACCTTTGGGCAAAAATAGTCAATCATTCTGCAAATGACCTCTTTTCATAAAAAGTACACAAATAATTACAGAAAATGATACCAATTGGCCTTATCATTGAAATTAAGTTATTATTTCCTTCTATACTTAAAGCGGCCTAAGGCGACTGACGGCGTCTTAAGGCGACTTTCTGACCCGGAGTAGGCCTCTTTTTGTGATACTTGTACTATTTATTGTCCAATATGGCAACCGAGAAATTAATAGAATTTGAGGAAAATCTTCTCCAAAAGAGAAAGTCCTTAACTGCAATGCTCTCATTGTTGTGTTTGGTAAGACACTAGCCTGTGTAAATATACAGGCTACTAAGACACAGGTTTAGTAAGTTTACAATCTTATCTAGTTTTTCTTTGTAATTSATGTCCTTGAAAATTGAAAATTCATCCTTAAAAAGTCCTTGAATTTTGTGTGAAAAACTCTGTACGAACCCTGTGCTTATCCCCTAGAGATATTGGATAAGTGTGTTCACAATTACTTAAAGAATCATAACCACCCGCCATACCTTGCGAACCGAAGCGCCATTTTAGGTGGACACGAAAATGGCGGATTTGTAGTGAGCGCAAATCGTCTTCCGTCCTTTCAGTTTGGACAGAAATACCTTTAACTAAGTACCTCACAGGTACTATCAATCTATAATYTATTGTATGCTTGACGCATTTAAACGTATGTAAACAATAATACGAGCGCGCAAGGTACGACGGGTGTTTATGATTCTTTAAAACAACATCTCTCTAACATACATGATAATGATGTCAGTAACATTGAACCTAAGGATCATTTCAAAGCTACTGTATATTGGACAATTTTCAAAATTTGCTCAACGAAAAGTGAATAGTCTAGTACGTCAATTTTGCACCAACATCAACATTAAACTAGTGTTTAACAACTTCACGACCGGTAACTTCTTTGAGGTGAGGGACATTGTCCCTAGAGGGTTACGCTCACGTGTCGTTTATAAATTTGTTTGCGCAAGCTGTTCTGCTTGTTAGAGCAGAGTCACTTGAACCATGAAATAGAAACTAAATACTTAGTTACTAATAGGCACTATTTAGACACTATCACTGAACCAGAACAGTACAAAGAGATTATTTTGATTGTTAAAGTGGTCCCTGTGGTATTGCTTATTGGATCAAATAAACTGTTCTGGTTCAGTGCTAACCAGAGGAGATATCAGTAGTATCCCTTTATGCTTTGCGCGCGTGGTTTGTTGACAAAATGGCTACTATTTCCGGTGATATGCCGGGTAGTAAGTTTCCGGTCCAGAAAATTGACTTTTTTGCATCTTAACAAGGGAAGTCCCGAAAATATTTGCTGTCTGATTAATTTCCTTTGTATTTCTCTTAATTTTTTGAAGTAATGTTTGTTTTAAGTATGAGAAAATTGCTGTTTTGTAGTTGACATTCGCGGTTTCAATTTAAGTTATATAACATGACGATCGGTTCAAAAAAAGTGCTGTTTTTACACTTGTTCTTTGAGCTATTTAAGTTTTGTTAAGTCAGATCTATAGAAAATATGTCATACGAAGCTACAGTCAAAAAAGTCTCAAAAAGTCTCCATGATTTCAAGTGCTAAACAGAGCTTGAAAACCCTTGAAATTTGCTAAGTTCGTGTGAGTCGCGTATCTTGATTAGGCGTAAGGTTGATATCGCTACCAGCGAGCTATGCTACAGTTTCGTCCATACAAATAAGTTAATCATAAAACACACTGAAATACAAGTGTCAAAGTACACATCAGTATATTTTAACCTCTTTTTTCATTGAACGATTTTCAATATAAAACATGTCCAAAAGAACAAAACTCGTGTCACTGTAAGCAATGAGTTTACAAATCGCGCATTTGGTTTATTTTTTGGCATGCAGCAATGAAACTGAAAACACTACCCATAAATACTACAATAAAACAGAAAACAAATTATGCCAACTAATGATCAAAGTAAGAACTGTTTATTTATAAAATGATTTCTTTCAATGCAAAACAATCAAAGCCGGACTTCAGTTCTAATCTAGTTCTAAGCTCATTTCAAGTAATTTCAAACAATGAAAAGAAGTTTTTACTAACCTCTAAATCTGACGAAATAAAAACACGGACTATAAAGTAGGACTTCTTATTTTATCAAACAGCTTTCAACCTTTTGACCGTCCACAGCGAGAGGAATCAAAGCAACTCACCTCTCCGACAATTTCCGATTTATCTACAAAACTGATGTCCACTTGTCGACAAATAAGGTCTAAAAAAGCAATTCTTTTTGTCGATACTTGAAAATTGTTCTTACTTATACAATGAATATATAAAAAAGAAGAATCTTTGAGATTTTCATCTCTATAATCGAAATTCTAGAGATGAAATTGGCGAACGGGTCAAAGTTTCCCGCCATTGATCTTCACTCGGCCAAGACCAAAAACAAGTGATGACGTCATATAAAAACCGATAATATAGTCTGAAACGCAATGCATTGTGGGGTACTACTGTTCCCTCCTCTGAGTGCTAACGACTATTAGGAACTAATAGTCCCTATTAGTTAGTACTTTTTAGTTCTTATTTCATGGTTCATGTGACTCTGCTCTATGTGGGGGAAACTTCCCGCCATTTTCAAACACGCGTGATTGAACACCTCTTTCGGGACAAATCCTCTCACATGTACACCCTTTTAATAAGTCCCGAGATTTTGTGTTCTCCGCACTTGACGTCAAATTTATTCTTTTGAATTCCTTTTGTATTGTAAAAATTTCAAAAGAATAAATTTGACGTCAAGTGCGGAGAACACAAAACCTCGGGACTTATTAAAAGGGTGTATACCAACATATAAACCGCTCGGGTAACTGCAGAGATGGTTGTAACAAGGAATGTTTTACTATAATTGACACTGCCACYTCCAAATACCAACTAGAAATTAAGGAGGCATTACACATTAAATGGCTCAATCCATCATTAAACCAACAAGTGTTCCATGCAAATGTTAGTCTAAAACTGTAATCTTATTGTTTAAATATACTCTTTGTATTTATGCTAATTCTTATTTAAGGAATAAAAAACAGTTTTCCGTGTATTATACTCTGATAAAAACACGCGGGATGTGGAGAGAACACGAGAGAAGCGTAGTTCGAAACCACGACGCTCAAATATTCATGCGCTCAAATATTCATTAGAAAAAAAWGCCGAGAAAAAGAAATGACGCGAGCGTGTATTATGCTCTCATCAAACACGGCTTTTTGGCCAATCAGAGCGCGCGTAATATGAAAGTTATTTTATAAATATATCTTCACATTATACAGTACATTAAAGTATCTGAGGAAGGCGATTGATCGCCGAAACTTGTCAAAATTGAAGGCTGTTGTTTTGTTCTTAAAATACTATATCAATTTCTACTCTACGTCMTTTTATAACTGTTATCCATCAAATTTACAAATTCAAATCAATTCATAATATAATTTTTGTACGTACTGGTCAAGGACTACCAAGAATAGTGAAAGCTAGTTTCGTTTAAAAAAACATCTTCAGTTCACCATGTTTTACAACAGTTGCAGAAAAATTCGAATTTGATGGCTAAAAAATGTATACATTTATTAAGAAAAGTACGTTTTACCTCAAATTCGCATTTGCCAACATCTGCACTATTAAAGTTGACATCTCACGTGATAGCCAGAGCGTGACAGCACATTGGGGCCATGTCAAGCTCTTCAAAAAGCTCTTGCGTATAAAATTCACCATGTCAAATAGCCTGCGTGGCGGCTCTAGGGGAGGGGGGAGGGAGAAAACGGAAGGGGAGGGAGTGKGGAGGCATTTCTTAGAGTTATTATTTCCAAATTTTTAGCCTGMGTAGCGGCCCTAAGGGGATTTATATTAAAATATTTTCCTCCCCACTCCCCGCTCGGCCGGCCCTCCCCAATCCCCTTAGGGCCGCTACGCAGGCTACAAATTTTCTGAGGGAGGATCCCCATACTCCCCTTATTACTCTGGCCTTGGACTAGCCAAAATGTCCACATTACCCCTGTCTGTCTTCGCTTATCCAACAGCCACAACGTGAGCCACGCGAGCCATAGAAATAAATATAGAAAAATTWTATATGAGTCATCGTTGTCGTTGTGACCTCAGCTTCATCTATCTAAGCATTTCCCATCCTAATGGGCAGTTCCCTCACATAAAACTTTGTGCGAGTGTTTATATGCTCAGTTACATGTAACGAGAAAAATATAATCACTCCTATAAATTTTTTCCACTTTGCCTTGAATAGGGTAATTGGAATTTCAGGATTTTGCAGTCTTGAATAGGGTCTGAGATGAGARGTACCAGTAAAATGTACCGGTCCTAGTGTGAATCAACTACCCCTTGGGACCAAATCTAAGTAACAAAATTAGCACATTATTGGTTAGCCAAACCGGATTATCTGAAATGTGAAGCCTGTATCACATATTTTCTTATAGCCCAGCTACTACTGAAGTTTACATAATTCAAGTTCCATGATATCATTCTATAGCTAAATCTATTTTTTATTATTCATTTAAGATGTATGACATCACAAACCAATATCAAAAAGAACACTTGACATCATGCTGTAACTGAACATAGTGATTGATTACCAATAACAAACAAAAACATGACTATTTTCAATATTATCATAATATTAAAGAAAATGAACATAAATACAATTCAAAAATCTTAATTAAATTGTGAATTACAAGTGATCAGGTGAAAGTTTCTGTTTCAAGAGAAAATCTTTTATTGACAACAGTGACAAGTGACATTTTGTCTCAGCCGAGACAAAATTTGTTCAGTCTTATCAAGGTAAAAGAAAAGGCCACAGGGGTGGTTTGGAACCCTCTGAAAAATAATTTCTTTACAGAGAAAATTTCATCCAGCATGGTTAAGTAAAGAATGTTCTCATACTTATTAATTATTCATGACGTATCCAGCCAATCCTGATTGTAATTTCTACCACGTGCAGTAACTGGAAACCAGAGGAAGTTACTTCTACCTTGTATCCAGTTACTTCTACCTTATTTCCAGTTACTTTCTACCTTTTTTCAAACTATCACTAGCTAATAATAAAGTATTAGAAATAATCAATTTAGCATGAATTAGGAATGCCATGAATAGCAAAGACAATTTGAATAGCTTTTGTTCCAGAAACCCATTTGGGAATTGGAGAACAACAAAAGGTGCTGGATGTATTCAAAATTATGAAAAACTGAAAACCTCGGTGGAGATGCAATGAATCAATATATTTCTGTTATATTTATTTCCTTCGCCCAAATAATTAATGAGTATGAGAAGTCGTGCATAATGCCTTGGACAGAAACTAATTTTATGGACTTGAAATCCCGTCCAKTCCGAACTTTAAACATTACGTCAAATACCTAATCAGCTTTCATAGGGATGCCTTAAATAATTTATAGTTGATAAGTCATAACCATATAACTAGGAATGTTTTGCCTAATCTTATACATGCATTGCTACATTGATGAAATACAGCTTAGTTAGTATTAACATTAAAAAGTTGAAAGTCCTGGAATGTTATGAATGCATGTGTTGCATGGAGCAGATAATGTAGCCACAATAAAATCTGATATCAATTTTTTTCATACCAATAAACTTTGCCTGTCTTKCAAAAGTGCCTTAATGTGTCAAAATCCTTGCATACAATAATGGAACTTAAAGTGYAAATGAACTSTATTTTTTCCAAAGTTCARGAAAACCACCATGGAAAAATAAAATTCTTCTTGGTGCATTCATGGARATCGGTTAAAAGCTTGTTGTTTTGTGAATCATTAAAGTTAATAAATTTTCGATCATTCCCAAATGGCSGCGAACTATCATAGGGGCCTGAATCGAGCCTAGTATGACGTCAACTAAGGAAACAACGTTCTCACATCGCTTGATATATTGACAAAATATTATCTAAAGTTGGCTTATAATTCTAAGGCGTTTGGAACAGTAATGAATTCCTTATAATCTCCACCATTTACTTTGAAAGTCCCCGGAAATGTGAGAGATGATTCCTTAGTTGACGTCATATTCGCACCAGGCCCCTGATTTCAAAGAGAGCGCATTTTTCCGAACTGGCGGGAAATTCAAAATAACGATAAACATCGGGAATTCATCCAATTCAAAATGTTTTTGCGGTATGTTACTAAATTTTAATACGATAGATTATCCTACAATTTAGAAAAATTGGAGTTCATTTGCACTTTAAATAATGACAATAATTCAAAGTTCGGTTCATCAAGAACAATTCCTTTAAGCATACCTTCACAAATTCTACAAACCYGACATCTCTTACATGAAGGCTATGATTGAATAGTTATTGCAAAGAAATTCACTTCCCTCCCCTTCCACATTCAATGTCTATATTGTCTATATCCATTTTAAAAATGTACGTAGCTGGATGATAAATACTCTTCAATTGATTTGATTACTTCCTTGCCATGTTCTTTTGTATCCACAGTATTCCATCCTGTAATTGAYATACCATGAATTTTAAAGGTCCACCTGCATTCAAGAAACTTTGGCAATTTTCTCAATACAAAAAATCACCATATTTGATTTTGAACCAATCAGAAAGCACCTTTTAGAGATCATTATTTTTAATACAAAAGAAACAACTGCAGATGTTCTTAGATGCAGGTGTGCATTTTAATAATTGTTGTTAGTATAAACATACTAATGGTCTATCACTCATACTGCACTGTGATTGGCTACTCTACTAATGGTCTAATATGTGATAGACCACTCGCTGGAAAATCAAAATAAATAAATTATAAATTATAAATTATTTTAAGGATATTTCAATTTGTTTTCATTATTTGACCGATTAGTGTGTTTATACTAAAACAATTAGACCTCTCAGCCTCGTGGACTACGAGCTAATAGCCCATTCGGCCTCGCGGACTCGGCCTCATGGGCTATTAGCTCGTAGTCCACTCGACCTCGAGGTCTAATTGTTAATTAGTTCTGGTTTTATCATAATTGCATATCATAAACACCATAGTACAAAAACTATAACACAAAAGGCTCTCACAATTACTTTACTCACGCCATGAGATGCAATACAATATTATGCTTTATCATTCATTTCATACCTGTACACCTTCTCCATTAAGTGCAGAACAACCCTGTATTTGCCATTGTCTATCTCTAATATCATTTAAATTCAAATCACTTGAAATCTAAAAGATAAATATTATGGTCTATTGGTCATTTTTAGTCATTTATTGGACAAAATGGTAGTTCATGTAATGTAGTTATTCCTAAACAATCTAGCATAATCATGTACAAAATACAATTTCAAATCCTTGGTTCAGTGGGGAAATATTTACACACCTACAATATTACATAGGACTGAAAAAGATATCAAGTCTGATCTATAAGTTCGTCATGAGATGTTCAAAAGGAAAAATAGGATGAGGGAGGATTTAATAATTGYAAATCTCTTTTTTTTTAGAAACTTAAAAGCGATTGGAATGTCTTCTCCCAAATACCAATAATATTACAAACAGTACGTAGCACAGACTACTCTCCAAGATTGACTAAATTAGATACCTCATAATATATAATCAATAAGGAGTCATTTAAATTTTGTGTTTTTTKSGTGAGGGATCATTGTCTTCCCAAAACTGTCAGCAGTACAACAATATAAAACAATACTTACTGCATCAGCCTTTTTTGAATTCAAAAGGTCCTGCTTATTAGCAAATATTAATACTGGAACACCATGAAGTTTTTCTTCTTCCAATAGCTCTGCCAATTCCTACATTTGGAAAATTCCCTTGATCAGCATTATTCTAACATTTCTATTATACAAAAAATATATTTTTTTATGTTTAATTTTAAATTATTCTGCTATACGCACCAATTTCCCTAGAACTGTATTTAATCTAGACCACTTTCATAAGTTCTACCATCAATTTTATACGATTGACAATATTATGGTAACATTCAGCACTGTCATATTGAAGAACTATCAGAAATAGGTGTTTGTGGAAAGTCTTGAATCTATAGACTTAATACTAATGTTATGGAGGAATGAAAATACAACCCAGGATTTGTACGAAATTCTTTGCTGATGCCTTTGTGTGGCCGTTTCCATGTTTTTGTGTTTCTTCTAACCCTTATAACTTAAAGAGGATTTAATATTTTTCTTTAGCTTTGATATCTATCACTTGAGCATTTTCTTTTGTCAACATTATAAATTTAATGAAAATATGCTAATTGTGTCACTCAATTATGAAAGTCATCAATACCGCAAAATTATTCCTTTATTCAATGTACTTGAGACATTGGTTTACAAATTTAAGTAAATAATTTTGTCATATATTTATCTCAGGGTTTTATATTTACTAATGACCAAATTTATCCCTTAATCCAATATTTCTGAATGTATAATCTTTTGAAATCGTGCAACACTGCACAAAAACCTAGCTGCAGTTTTGAGTTTTCTCTCTGTATGCCATATATATACAATTTAAAATAAATTTAAGAATGTACAGAATTATTTTTATAATGTTTTCAGGATTTTTACACCTTTTGCTGTTCATTATCGTAAAATGTACACTCATTTATGCCAAGCAATGCATCAATAACTTTTATTGCACTTTCTTGAACACCGCAAGCAACATCATTGGCGCAAAACGACTTTCAATAGTGATATTYAAATACGCKCGAGCATTCAACAGTATCAATAGACAATCAACTGAATGACTGGACAATCATTTGGGTGTAACGTTGTTTCATGTGTGCACAATGAAAATTCAATAGCACCAATTGACAAACAGTTGCATTTATTGACAATCATTCAACCAAAAAGGAAGATACGTGACGGTTGCACTCAATATTTCACCGACTAATGGGCTTGTCTTCCACTCTTCAATTATTCGATCAATTAGGAATGAATGCTCAGAAATTTAACGACTTTATGGCACAGACGCGTTTTAATCTTGATCCCAATGAAAACGTCATTCTGAATTATATTTATATACAGAAACTTGCAAGGCTATAGAATACTGTAGACTTGAGTCTCATTCCGAGGCACTTGTTATAATATCCTTTAGTTGTAAGCTTTTTTTCTACAGGACTGCCTAGAATCACATGTTTTTGTGAAAATTCCCCGAACTAAACACGTTATGTTCTCAGATTGTTTGTGGATTGTTTGCGTTCATCACTGTTCATACCCTGCGAGTAGAGTGTATTTCCTTACCTCAATAAAAATTCGCAAAGGAAAATTTTCCTTTGTGAATTTTTATTGAGGTAAGGAAATACACTCTACTCGCAGGGTACACTGTTCACGAACATGTCTGATCATTACTGATTCACAAGCATATCTTGAGTGGTATGGGTGGCATGGGTGGCATAGTGGTTAAGCTGCTGGCCTCTCACTGCTGTGGTCCTGGTTCGATTCCCGGGCATGGATCATATGTGAGTTTGAGTTTGTTTGATGTGTTGTTCTCTCCCTTGCCAGGGGAGAGAGGGTTTTTCTCCGGGTACTCCGGTTTTCCTCCCTCAGCAAAAATCAACATTGTATTCAGAGTTAGAAGAAAAGTTGTGTGAGAGGCCTTTGTTTTGCATCAAAGTGAGACAGAATTGGGCAACGACCCAAAAATTGTTCTTTTTGAGCTTGAYCGTCTTTTTGCAATGTCAGGAAAATAACTTTTGTTATTACATGTAAAAAGGTCATAATTTTGACATGAGTTTAGAACTCTTGTTCATTGAGGGATGTATGAAACATGTTGCCCTCTTTGACTTTAACATCGAAAAGGTCCATTGAAGTTGAAGTTTAGACATTACACTTTTAGAAGGAGCTTCACATGTAATTTTTTGAGCAACGGAATTCACTGTGAAAATGAAGGTACTATATTGTATTTCACAATTTACAACAACTAGAGTGATTTTAGTCAATGTTTTTTCTATTAATGTTTTTGGACTAACGTTAGATTCGGCGTACACTAATTTAATTTTATCTGCGTGAATTAGAATAGAGTAAGATAAATATACTTCAGCGATTGCATAGTTAACCTTTGCGGTTTGGATATCGAGTTAGCTAGGATACGGATTGTTTCACTTAGCAACCAAAGAACGTTGAAGCTTACTTACCAATCCAGTTTCCTCCATGCGTTTGTGGTCTGAACTATCTACTACATAAATCTAAATAAAAAAGCATGGAAACACTCAAAAAATAGGATTTTCATAAAAGAAATTATAAGCTTAAATATTAAGAACTAAAGCCAGAATAACTACAGCCCGACAGCTTTTTGAGATRAACTTTAAGATTGTAAACGTACCAGCACATCTATATCATCAAAGTAATTTCTCCAGTACGGACGAATTCTCCTTTGACCTGATACAAAAAATAATTGTATATTATTCCGAGTTAGAGCTCTTATCGCTTCACGAAATTCTCTCACCTCCGATATCCCAAACGTTCAACTTAATGCCATCCGTTCCTTGAACCGACTTGATATTAAAACCCTACGTAGAAAACCAGCACAGTTGAAATGATTATAAAACTAATAAGCTTATGTATAGAAGAAAGATACTAACCTGAGTTGGTGTGACATGCTGTACGTCTTCCGTTGCAAGATTCTTAAGTAGAGTTGTCTTTCCCGAGTTGTCTAAGCCAAGTAGTAAAATTTTCAATTCTTTGTTCTTGTCTCCCGGTTTAAGTTTACGGAGCAACGACAACAAGCCCTGCAAATTAAAACCACGTAAACGAATGACAAAGCAATAAGCCTAATGACATCTTATGCTTACCATTTTACTTCGTATATATAATTCCCTAGGTTTCTTGCAAGGGAAATGTCCTCAACGGTACTCGAACTCCAAATAAACAATATGGCTGCCAAAGATTATCGTGACGTCATATCTGGATCAAATGAACAGGAAAACTGGGGCGAGGCCGATGGAGGTTTAGGCTCTGGGTTTAGGAGGTAACATTATGGCAATGCCAGCGGTCAAACGTTTTTCTACCATTGGTTTCTCTTCGATATTCCAACGATTAAGGCCTATTGTTGTTACATCTCTCTCATTAACTAGGTATATTTGTGATGGAAAACGTATCAGCAGGTTTCCAGTCCCAAAAGTGTCAAGTTTACCTGAAGATCTCAGAGAAAGATTCGCACTAGAAGAAGAAAAGGTACGACTGCAATAAGGTTTGAAGTGCAAATGAATTACCAGTGTGTGGACATCGTAAGAGAGTGTTTAGTCTAATCTTTAGAGCCATCTGGTAAAAGTGTAATATATTACCTATTGCAAGATATACAGTAAGCCACCTTCATCGATGCGTTTTCATTTTATTTCATTTATCATTTAACTTATTTTATTTTTATTCTTTATGTTCGAGGGGGGTTCCTAGGAACCCAAGTAACCCCCCTGGATCTGCCACTGAATGGGTCTACTGAATTGCTTTGATCATAGAACCTACGGAAACAAATTTTTGTATAGTGTCTGTCAAGTACAGATGAACTGTACAGATGAACATATTAATGAATGTACTACAGATACTAATCGCAGAATTTATTTATAGTCTATATAATTCATTGCGAATGTGATCACACATTCTTACACAAGCATATTTTAGTGTACATATTAAATCAATTCAAAATTTCAGTTTTAAGGCTGGAGTTGCATCTAGATTTTTGCCCTTACAATATTTGATTTGTGATGTCATTGGTGGCTTGATTTTCCTGTGTAGTGCAAGTTTCATCATTCAAATGAAATCAAAAGTTCTGGACACTCTGTAATTAAAAGACACAAGGCAAGAGTTGATAAATCAAGCTGCCAATGCCAACTGCTAACTCGGAGATTGTAGGATGATTTTTTGCCAAAAAATCGCATAAAGATTGAAATCCAAAGAAAAAAAACTCAGTAAATTGTAAAATTTATTCCAAGTTTATTGGCTAAAATAAACAATGCAAGAAACGGCAATGTAGACATACGGACTAAAGGTCATGTCATTCGTGATCGAAGCAAAAACCTGGTGAAAACGTGTGTATCATTTAACACCAGAAGAATAGAATTTTATACCTTTTTTTCTTCATTTGATTACAGGGTTTTAACTTATTGCCATTTTCAAAATATACAGGCACAGGCAACCCAAGCTCATTACATAATATTTATATGTGATCACATGGTCAAAATTTGATTTCTTTAAGTTTGTGTTTTTAAGAATAAAAATGACTCACCTTGATAACTTGTTGTGTCTTTTATCATTTGGCGGAGTTTGAAGCCGTTATAGGTGGGGGAAAGAAAATTCGAAAACCAGGTAAAATCGCTTCCTAACAGGCTTCAAACTCCGCCAAATGATAAAAGACACAACAAGTTATCAAGGTGAGTCATTTTTATTCTTAAAAACACAAACTTAAAGAAATCAAATTTTGACCGTGTGATCACATATAAATATTATGTAATGAGCTTGGGTTGCCTGTGGTTAAACAAGGAGCTTGTATGTTTTCCCTGACTCTTCCGAACTTTCGAAACGCACTCAAACGTAAACACTTTTAAAAACGTCTTTCAATTCGTACAATTTACACCAAAGAATAGAATTTTAAAGACATTTTTTGCTCATCATAGAAGTAGTTTTTATCGGTTATGACTCAGGAAACCCAACCTTTGATATGGTGTCGCATAAAAGCTAGTAAAAACGTCATGATGTAATTTTATAATGGGCACATGGTCTAGTGGTAACATCTCGGTCCAGAGTTTGAACCCCATCGAGGACATAAATTTCTTTCTCTTTGAAAAAAAAAGAAAAGAAAAAAGATACAGGAAGACCGTAAAAAATAAATTTCCAGCAGATACTAATAAATTAATTAATAAGTCAAATAAGCTAACAACACAGTTTAAAGGAAAGTGACTGACTGACTGAGTCTGGAGAGAGAGCTTATAGAACATAAACCGGAAGAAAGATAATTCTTGTTTCCAGTTTACAGTGTGTCCCACAACATATGATAGGCAGCAAAAACAAACAAAAAATGTTGCTAATAGCATGCAGTTTAAAAGGTGTTGCATAATGAGCTACGCATTTTCACAATTCTCAAATTAAGTTTTTAAAACCATATGATGCAAAAACTAATGCATATGAGAAGCTAATTTGTTTTTAGAGAAAGGTCAATGTAACAAATTCTTTCAATATACCGGCAAGGTTCTGGTTTGATGCCATTTTTCTTGTTCAGAGATATTAGCTTTTATAGTGCTGTGTTGCAATGCGCTGATTAGCCTAGATACATTCTGTTTAAAGTAAAAAGTATATGAGCAATAATCCATAGAGGTTTATTGAGAGTAACACTGAAAATGCGTGGTCAAGATTTGAGTAATATGCCTCTTCAAGGTACATGATGCACTGATCATACATGCAGTAGCAGATGCATTGAATGTTACTATCAATTTAAAATAGGCAAGTGAAGGATTTGCACCAATCACTATTATTAGCCCAACGTGTGTAGAGGATAACTCTAGTGAAATCAATATTGGCCATCTTGAAGAATTTCATTATGCGTCCACACAAAGGACCATGCTACAATCTAGCATTTCAAGTTGAATAGAAAATGAAAATGTTGGTATAGTTATGACTAAACTAACTGCAATAATGCCATGAGAGGTCTTGAATGTTTTGGTTTGGTAAATAACAATGATCAATTGCAGGTCTTACAACCATCTGATCTTGATACATTTATTAATTAAAGGCGCTCAATGAGCGCATGTACCTACTACGATTTATGCAAATTGTAAATATATGTGAAAGCGGATGGCATATTGGTTTTAGTAAATCTATGGAACACAAATATTTAGACTCAATCAGCGTTTATTTTGCACCTGTTGATGAGGCGAGATAACACAATGAAAAAAGAAAGTGCAGAATATCGATATGTATTTTATTGTTTTTTTTGGGTTGCTAATAACAATACAAAGCACTTAATTTTTATTGGATACAAAGTAATAAAGTGCGAACAATATCTTCATGAAATAACTCACCATTTTGAACAATGGAAGTTCTAACTAGGCATTGTTTCTTTAATAGAATGCATTCATTAAAGTTCTGTTTGTGTTGTGTTTGTTCATGCGTGGAGTCACGTTGTTGGGAACCAGTATTAGGTTGAGCTTTATCTGGCTGTTTAGAGAAATTTTCTCTTAAAGAAAGACCTACAACTTTTATATTGGGATATGAAAGGCTTTGATAAAGAAGAACTAAGGCAAAATATACTCATCAAAGCAAACGCACCTCGCAAACTTTCACGACAATTACCACGAGAAATTTTCACGAACTTGTTCGTAAATCCGCAGAGATGATTGAATTTTCGGCGGTCGTTCGTACTACGTTATCTGTTCTGCCGATCGCCTCCGAGAGCTTCCTGTGTTTATGGGTCTTTCGAGGGGTATTGATTGCATTTTGACGTCATTCTATTGTTACTTACTCATTTGCATTAGACACGATGACAAAGTGTCTACTACTTCGTAGTAGGCATAAAAATGTATGCAGATTCACAGATGACATTGGTTGCCATGGCAAATGTATCATTTACTTTTTTTTACTGTTCAGCGCTAGCTCAATTTTTCACTGAAAGACTCTTGACAACTCATTGTCAAGGCACGAGTCAACCTGAAATCAGGGTCTTGTTAGATATTTTATGAATCTCATTAAATATAGTTTTTTTATACAAATACAAATACAAATAATGAATACAAAAATAAATAATACCTATACATATAATTTCTACTCTGTCTACTATTGAAGATCATTTATTTATTATTTTACATTACATTTGTAGATCTGAAACTCTTATTAGTGAGTTTGGTGTCACTATTATTTTGTTCTCTTATCGAGCTGTTGTTATTTGTGTTTTTGCAACGTTTCGATGCCATTGTGGCCGTCTTCTTCTTCCTTGGGAATAGATTATTTTGTCTTTAATTAGTACGTAGTTTAACTTACTTCCTAACATAATCGCCGTTCCTTTACTCCTTGAAGTTCTGTGTGACATTAAAAGTTCATTCCTAGTTCTCAGAGACCACTTAGAGCAGACCACTCATTTTTGTTTCTTTAGTAGTGTTGTTTCTTGCAAAAAAGAGATTCCGTATTCACCATTGTGTTTTATAAGCCAATTAAAATTTTTTCTATTCTTTTTATAGTCCCTGAGGCCACGGGAAATTTAAAGACATTAATTTCAAGTTATACGAAAAAAGTAATCAACCCGGGGGGCGGGGGTCCTCGTCGTCCCTTTTAGGGTTTGAAACCAGCGTTTTGGTCCCGCTTAGGGTGATAATGACGAGAATTCCCACCAACAGAGTTTTGTGGTCCCCTTTAGGGTATACGACGACCCTAAGCCGTCATCATATATTTGTATATGACATGCAACGTCGTCATAAACTCAGTGGGAGACAACGGCGTTTGATGCTTGTGCAAAAACACATGTTAAATCGGGAAACCAAAACAAAATAACCGTTTATTGATTGGTCCCTCTTAGGGGTGAAATTTCAGCCTTGCCACGCCCATCATCTCACAATACAGGTCCCTTTCAGGGGTCATTTTCAGAATCTCCGACGAGGACCCCCGCCCTTTTTTATAAAGGAGTAAGAACGGATAAGAACAGAACTACAGAATAAAGGCGAAAATAAAGATAAAGTTGTGCTTGCTGAATGAGCCTTTGCATTTGTTTATCTTAGACGGCGTGACCGAAACTAAGCACGGCTGCGAGGAGACTATATTTTGTAAGGCTGTAAGAGATCACTGGAAAAAATCTCGCGCTTTAAAGGTTGTAAATTTGATGTAAATATGATGTACGTGTCCAAAATTCTGTAAATTTAATGGAAATCATTTACATCAAATTTACAACCTTTAAAGCGCGCGATTTTTTCCAGTGAGAAATACTCAGAATCTTTCCTTTTAAAAATCTTAATTCAGAAATTAAGTAACAACACTAGAAGTAGTGATATAAATCCCCGGTATAAATCCTATTTAATCATCCTAAATTTAAAGTCCTTAAGAGTATAAAGCAACTCACTATTACTAATTAGTATAATATAAACATACTAATGGTCTATCACTCATACTGCGCTGTGATTGGCTACTCTACTAATGGTCTAATTTGTGATAGACCACTCGCGGGAAAATCAAAATAAATAGATTATAAATTATTTTAAGGATATTTCAATTGTTTTCATTATTTGACCGATTAGTATGTTTATGCTAAAACAATTAGACCTCTCGGCCTCGTGGACTACGAGCGAATAGCCAATAGACCTCTGAAGCTTTTACGTCATGTACCGTAAACGCAGTGCATTGTAGGATATGTTTAGGACAAAACATGGCGGATTTCTTTTGTTTTCTCTAGAAAGTGATCCCACAATGCATTGAAAATCAAATTGTGACGTAAAAGGTTCAGAGGTCTATTCGGCCTCGCGGACTCGTAGTCCATTCGACCTCGAGGTCTAATTGTTAATTATTATCCTTCTATCCTATTATCCTATGGTGCAATGGGGGATCAGAGGAAATACCCCCGTACCCCCCTAGTACCTCCTGGCTTCGGCCGCCACTAGCCCCCAACAAATTCCTGCTCCGCGGTCCCTTTAACTATATGAAAAACCCAACATACCACATTAATGTATTTCTCCAGGCTGGATTTCTTCCCAATGTTTTGAGATGTCTGTCGCATCGACCTGACGAATTACGTGCATTTCTGAACTACTACGACATTTTGATGCTAAAAGAAAACAACCTGAGCAAAGCAGAGAAGGAAATGATTGTCGTGGCTACAAGTGCTGCCAATAATTGCATGTACTGTGTTGTATCACATGGTGCTCTTACCCGTATTTATTCCAAAAATCCTCTTCTTGGAGATCAAGTGGCTATTAATTGGAAGGCGGCAGATCTTACCAAACGTGAACGAGCTATTTTGGAATTTGCAACTAAGATTGGTCGAAGTGAGACCATAGAAGACAACGACTACGCGGCATTGGAGGAACAGGGTCTTGGACAAGAAGATGCATGGGATATAGGAGCAATAGCAGCATTTTTTGCACTTTCAAATCGTATGGCACACATGATTGAYATGAGGCCAAACAACGAGTTCTTTAACATGGGAAGACTTCCTAAAGAAAATAAGTAAGCACTTGACAATTATTCATTATATAAAATATCAAGTAATGTAAAAATAGTATTTTTTAAAATACACTGTATAAATAAACTCTGCAAAATCGCTACAGACATTTATTATGAGTCATTTCTAAAACACATCTTGAAGACAAGGAAAAMATATTTTTAGAGTGCTGGTTACTGAACTGTGTGTTTATGCTGCGTTGTGCTGCGCTGTGCTACGCTATCCCTTGCTTTGCTATGCAAACTCAATTTGCATTGTTAATTTGATTCCCTGGCGAGAAAATCGTCTTCATCCCAGAATTTGTCATTGTTTTTCCTCTCCCGTAAACGACCACCCTCGACTGACGCAATAAAGGCGTGTGTTTAATTTACTTATGAAGCTTACACAAATTTCATTTCCGGTTACTTTAATAGATTACAAACCGTAAAAGCGTACTATTTAGTATCAAATACACTGTAGTGTAAGTGGTATAATATATCATTGAAAACAATAGAATTAGGACATTACGGGGGCCGCGGAGACGGGGGGGGGGGCACTTTTTGCTTCCGAAAAATTATTAATAAATGAAATCGATAAGATTAAAATAAAAACTCCAAAAAATCGATGTTCAGAGCTCGACTATACTGTGACGACATCAAGTTGGAAAGAGTCAACTTCGCATGCATCTGACTCCCCTATAAAAAGGGGCAAGAATATTACACTATGCTTGTGCAAATGATAAAAGCAAACTGATTAATGTCGCTATCGTCCTCAGTATCGTTACAGTGAGAAACAATTGGATAAGAAACTATCAAACAAGGATTAAAGGACTGTACAGCTTCGAGAACACGACCTGCTGCATGTGTTTTTTTAAATATGATATCCAAAATTCTGAAAACAGTACATTTGGATGTTTTGAAACAGGGTCTGAATGGGGTTAACCGACTAGCGACAAATGGACAAAATAACTACTGACTAGCGACATATATATGAACCAAATTTGCTGACTACCGACATTAACAAATTTACTGACTGGCGACATTTTCCAATATTCAAAGATGTTAGCTCCGTGAATACAAGCTTTTTTTAATTTTTCAAGCAACTACATTCGAAATTTTCCGCGGAAAAAACACATTTTGATTCGGATTGGCTTCTTGAAGTTGTGATGAGCCACTCTAAAACTTCAGGGCATCCAATTGACCAATCAAGACTCGAAGATTCAATTGTTGGCATTTTGGAAAGAATTCTGTTGGTATAAAGCACCGTTTTAGATGCATTTAAACTTAATGCTTATCAACTTTTTTTAAATAATCGACTACCGACAAATGCCTAGAATTTTAACTGACTAGCGACAAATGTTTGAAATTTTAACTGACTACCGACATTGAGACCGCCCCATTAAGACCCTGTTGAAACAATCGTTTTTGCAGCATGTCTAGCAGGCTTGAATAAGACCGAATATGTTTACATGCAGAACGTACTTCCTATATCTGACAGTGTAATACGAGTTAAATGATATTTGCGGGATCAGTGACGGTTTACAAGTGTTCACGATTTTACAATGAAACATACGAAACGATTTTGTACGGGTCATCGTTGTAAGACGTGCATGTTCAGATAACAATCGGAATGGAAATGGCCTTAGTTTTCAATTCACTAGGTTTTCTTTGTTGTACATAGGGTTGTATATACCATAGAAACTTAAAGCCGGGGAGGGATTTGATATTTTTGAACATCAAATAAACTAAGTAAACTAAACTATTTTTCCCCTTAAAAAGACCAGTGCGGCCAGCAAAACTTGAGGAGATTTAGAGTGTAATAAGTTCGAGTCCAGCAGCTTTTCTTCAATATGTTCATCAGAGAATAGAGACAACAATAACCAAGATCTTCGCCGTTACTTTTAAAAGAATCTATATTCTTCGGAATTAACCAACGTGTATGAATCAGAAGTAATCGGTGTGACTTGGTCCATTCTATCCAAGCACGTACACACGGCCATTTGGTACTTTAGTTTGTTCCTTCTTGAATCCTTCCCTCGTATTTTTTCGAGCGAGTTCGACATCAAAAACTATTGTAATTTTTCTCATTTTTTCCCATCTGCAGACTTTGTCATCGTTATTTGCGGGAAGAAGCATGCGGAGTTCCAAATCCGATAGCAAATCGTCAATATCAAAGTTCGGCAAAGGAATGATGTCAAACGTATTTTGAGCTATAAACAAATCGTCACTGTTCGACATCGTTTCCAGAATGACTGCTAAGAATATTTGATAACAATATTCAAATTTCGATTGCTCGCTTTCGCATGAACAGGTTTTCTTAAAGGAAACTAATTTCAACAGTCCATGAAAACGTCTCAAGAGAAGAGGATTCTATTGTTAAAAACCCAACTAAGAAAACATTCATTAAGTCTATTCAGTTTTTGCGAAAACCACGTGAATTGAAAACTAAGTTTGTTAGTTACCTCGCACGTCGGCATTACGCTATATACAGCCCTCGGGCCTGCGGCCCTCGGGCTGTATATAGCGTAATGCCTCCGTTCTCGGTAACTAACTCTTACATATTATATTCAAATAAAAGAATCAAAAAACACGTGATATAGAGTAATTGGGTAATCTTAGTCGGAATCATTAATTTTTAAATATTTCGAACATTTCTCAACAATTTTCAACAGCTTCTATCGGTGGTTTTTTAATTAGCACTTTTTTACAAAAGCGGAGACAGTATTGACAGTCTTAAACGTTATAATGATTAGTCTAATAATAGAAAACTTTCATGCAAGCTGTTCACGAATATTCATCAGTCGGTCCATAGGAACTATGKTCGGTCGCTATAGAATCACAAAACAACAGCCATAGTTTAGTGTCAGTCGAAAAGTTTCGGGAATGGAACGTGTACAAAACAGTGAATCCTCTTTGGACGAACTTTTGGATCGGCTTACACATGAAGAAGAGAGGCCTTCTGAATCCTTCAAGACGGTTCAGTGTATTTTAAATGTGTTGCTATCGGCAATGGCTCGTTACTATCCTCCTATTTCCTTTCAGTCAATTGACGAAARCAGCTTTTTTGTCGCTAAAAGCAGTACACGATTTGAAATTGTTGTTTGTCTTAAACACTTAAAATCGGCTCAAGTGAGTGTGGAGGAAAGCAGTCTTCCTCTTGGTCTAGCAATGGTGAGGATACCCGACATTTCGCATGGGTATAACGCATGGAAGAACTTTTGCGTTCGTTCTCGATTTGGAAAGGAGTACCTGTCTCCAAATTTCCTTCGCTCATCGATCTCGAAGCTCCTAAGCAAGCTTGTTAATGATATAGAGAATGTGCGTCATGATTTTCATATCACAGATGGCATTAAAATCGTGAATAGATCTACCGTAGATTGCTTGTCGATAGACATTCACACCAGCAGTGTCTGTTATAATATCGATCTTCTTCCCGCTATTGAGTGTGCTGGGGTGTGGCCCACGTGTGCGCGCAATTGGCGCACGGTGAAATCGTTTCTGCAGAGAGAAAAGACAAAACGAATACTACAGTCAGGCGTCCACCTTATAGCGAAACCCGCTCGAATTGGYTTCCATTGGAGAATCTGGTTCAGCGTCGCAGAGGCGTTGATGATGCAATTCGATGAATTCCCTTGTAAGAGACAATCTTTACGACTTTTCAAGAAGGTGGTATTTGGCCATCTCGGCTGTGTGTTTTTGAGTTCATATCATCTTTATACAATCCTTTTGCATGAGAGTGGGCGGTTTCCAGAGCAGGAGCAATGGTGTTATTCTCAGCTTCACCAACGTGTAAGAGGCCTTTTACTTCGACTGTACCASTGTCTCACAACAGCATACTGTCAACATTTTTTCATTACGTCGCTGAATCTTTTCCGAGGAATKAGCAGCAGTGCGCTGGAAGAATTTGCAAAGCGATTGAAGGAATTATTATCCAACSATGAAAAACTTGATGAAAAAGACGGCGATTCATCTACAGCAAGAGTATGTGTGTATGAGACTAACCTTACATCTAGTGAAATCACCGTCAATACTACCTGGTTTTAGTTGTTTAAAGTAACAATGCAATGAACTACGCATCTCTCTGACCTCTCATTGCTGTCGAAAAGAAAGGGATAATACCAATCCAATGTTGAACTATAAGTGTTGTTTATAGAACGAGAGTGCGTGTTTAATCGGGATATTTAGATTCGAGCCGCAAGCGAGAATCTATAAACCCGATAAAACACGCACTCGAGTCCAGAACTTGTTATCATTTTAGAAAAAAGMTAAAAAATGCGAAAACAGTGATTATGCATATTGAACTTCTCTTGAGTATGTGCATGTGCCACARTTGAAAGAATTTTGATGCCACACGAAAGAACGGCTAGTCTAGCTATAGTGCATGTCGGCGCATTGATTCAAACTGATTTAAAACCTAGCAAAGGTCTATGATTGAGACTTTTGCTAGTGTTGGGTTGCGATAAAGCGCTGATGAACTTGATCAGTTCTTTATATCTGATATARAACTGATTAATAAAACATCAGTGCTTTATCGGATGTAAAGGCCCATCRTGTGAMCCARTAGTTCGATGCTCATTGGACTAATAGCTCATGAATTATTAATGAGTTCTAGAATAATATTTAATAAGTAATTTATCACAAATTAATAATCAAAAATCGAGTCCAAATTWWAAAWWAGTTAAATCAACGGCCTATATTACGGCCTATTATTGGTCAATGTATATTGAACTTAAAAACCGTGTCGGCGTTTTTTGATATTTTTTTATCTGCGGAGTTATTGCCATTTGAATTTAAAAGTATGGATTTTTGACGTGAAATTTGATATTTGACGCCATAACTTCAAAACGAAAATCTAAATCCAAACTTTTTTTTACCTCGCTATGTCCTCAACGATATCTATTGCGAGATAACTTGCATTGCTCAAAGCCAAAATCGYGACTTTAGCTTTATAATTTTTAATAAGTAATCTATAAACGATTTTTCTAAACCAACCTAAATAAACTTATTCTTCAGTCATTCTATACAGCTTATGAAATGATAATGAGGTGACGTCAAGGGAGGCTTCATCAAATATACGAACTTTGAAAGAGTCGCTCAAAAGTGTTTTAATGAACGCCAACTGGGAATATGATTATTTCCTACATTGCCTACGATAAAGTTAATGCCATGAAAAGTCACATCATTAGCATTTTCAATTTTCAAATGCCTTCAACTCAGAAAATAAAATTCAAAAACGTTTTTTTTTTAAAGGATTAGCATCATATTTGCCTTTTGTTAAAAACGATTTTCTAAAAAGGTTCATATGCACTTTAAGAGACGCTGAATAATTTTTTAAACTTGATAATCCAGGATCCAGGATTTTCTTCAGGGAAGTGGAGAATTAAGACTATTACAAATAAGACAACTAAAGGTCCCATTCTAAAACCAATACCCATCTGGGACACCCTGTTATTTCAAGCCACATGRTTGGAGAGTGAAAGGAATACGGTTATTGGACGCACGAAAAYTTGGTGTGAGGGCAGTGTTACGATCAATGCGAGAGACTTAACGCTGAGCTTGAGCAATAACATGACGATCTAAATTTGAATATTGTTATCAAATATTCTTAACAGTCATTCTGGAAACGATGTCAAACAGTGACGATTTGTTTATAGCTCAAAATACGTTTGACATCATTCCTTTGCCGAACTTTGATATTGACGATTTGCTATCGGATTTGRAGCTCCGCATGCCTCTGCCCGCAAATAACGATGACAAAGTCTGCAGATGAGAAAAATTACAATAGTTTTTGATGTTGAACTCGCTTGAAAAAATACGAGGAAGGATTCAAGAAGGAACAAACTAAAGTACCAAATGGCCGTGTGTACGTGCTTGGACAGAATGGACCGAGGAGCGGAGAAATACGAGTCACACCGATTATTTCTGATTCATACACGTTGGTTAATTCCGAAGAATAGATTCTTTTAAAAGTAACGGCGAAGATCTTGGTTATTGTTGTCTCTATTCTCTGATGAACATATGAAGAAAAGATGCGGGACTCGAACTTATTACACTCTAAATCTCCTCAAGTTTTGCTGGTCGCACTGTTTTTTTTTAGGGGAAAAATAGTTTAGTTTACTTAGTTTATTTGATGTTCAGCAGGGAAATGTGGGGTTGATGAATTGAACTGAATAACTCGTTATAAATTCAGCGGGCTATATATGAGTGATCCATAACTAGCTATTCAATTCAATTCATCAATCCCACATTTCCCTGCTGAATATCAAATCCCTCCCCGGCTTTANAATAATTCATAATGTCATTTGAGCCAATGATATAATGAGAATCTAATCACGTGATTATACCTTTATATTGGATAAAAGGTGCAGCAATCTCAATGTTGGGGGCGGCTTTGAATATTTTCAGGGGAGTGTGGGCCTGATATTATTCAACGTTTTCCTGATACAGATCTAATTAATAAAACACAATGGAAAAAGATTCTTTCGACGAATTCAACTGCAAAGACGCAGTCCAAAAGAAACAGTCTCCATCACCGGCAGGATCGAAAATCACTTGATAGCCCGCTTTTTCTAGTTCTTGATCCATTTAAAACGAACAATGCAACATCAAAACAGCTCAATAAAACAATCAATGCTCAACCTCAGTCACCGACAGCCACTGTAGTTTTGTCGAGAAAGGAATAAAGAGACCTCCTTCTATTTGGTGTCCAGTAACTTCCCGTGTCGTCCGTATGTTCTCGCCGCGCGGCGTTTATTTATTTTTCACGGTCCAGCTAGAATAAATTCTCATTGCTGGTTTAAACTTGAATAGACATTTCTTTAATAATTATTATAAATCATTTCCACAAATCAGGGGGCGGCGTCTAATCGAGTGGTTCCGACAGATCCACCAATGATCAATAATTATCACTTGAATAAATGTAAAAGTAATTTTTATTTTTTGTTTATTGTCTTACTCATTCTCTCGGAAAAAACGTGATATTTATATGTAATGTCAAATCACTTTTAGCCTTTTATTACGAAGAGATCTAAGACATATCAAACAATTACTGATGGATACGTGATCATTGACT